TGCACTGTCTATCAAATTTGTGGGTTTGAAGACACTGTTATTAGCTAAATGAAATGCCACTTTGTTGTTTGACAATTTATAGGCCATTTCCTGTGCATATATCTCAAGACGTTTATCTCCCAAACCAACCATACATTAATGTAAAAGATATTCAGTTCATACGTCTAAATATTTCTTAATATTCATGTTTTCTTCCCCGGCTTAACTTTTGTTATAAACTATAGCATTATTATTATTATTATTGTTGTTGTTGGTAACAACAACAATAATAATATAATATAATAAAAATAATAATAATAATAATAATAATATTAATACTGTAAACAAACCAGGTTTTGTCTTCAAGAGAATTATATGGCTTTCTTACAAAATATCGTGTTAACTGGGAATGGTATTCAGTATATATGCATATCATTTATCTGGTTTCTGGTCTGCTGGTCTTTCTACAGAAAAATAAAAAGTACATACTGCGCACTCCTCGCGGGCTCTTAACCTGTCATTAGTAATGTCTCAGAATGTTGTCGCGAGCCTAAAGCCCTCGGTCCTCTCACGTGCACAGCGATTAATAATTATGGAAAGTGTGGTATTGTATAGTTCATTCGTTCGCATGCATGGGCAATTAATATTGCCGCGTGTTAATTACATCTTCTTCTTTATTTAGGTAAGTTGAAATTTCCCTTTAGGAATTCACACGACGCCTAAATGATCCTCATCCGCTCTCACCAGAACCTGCCTGTAAAATAATGTCCACGGCAATCCTTTAGTGCCACCTAGCGATCCTTGAAGGGGGAGCTATCCGGATGGGGATTTCGAGACTTTAAAAGTAGTTTGATTTACTACGAAGCACAAATTCCTTAAATAAAAGCATATATTTCTAATTTCTCGTCATATTATTTATTGATGATTTACTAAATTTGTTAATTTTCTTTGCTATACTGAAGAACTTCAATAGTACTTTTGTGTTCTTACAGAGGTTGTTCACTCAAAGCAAGAACATCCAGATCACAAATCTTAAGGCCGCTAACAGTATTGAGTTTTTTGTTAAAGTATTTTGACGTTACGTAGCGCTTACGGAGAGATCACTTTTCCCATCGATCTGTTTGCCTGAATGTGCTACAAAAATACCAGCGACACTTTTATTACCTCCATTTTGTATTTAACCTACATTTATCCAAGGCATGTCATCATGACTGAACACAACTGAAGAATTAGCTAGCCTGCATATACAGTGACAAACTCACCTTCAAATTGCATTGTTATCATTATTATTATTATTACTATTAGCAGTAATAGTAGTAGTAGTAGTATTGTTGCTCTTTTTGTTGTTGTCATTATTAGGTTACTACTATTACTATTACAAGTAGTAGTAGTATTGTTGTTATTACTATTAATATTATTATGTGCTTTATCCATACATTCACTGTATAGATTATTAATGCCATATTTAGAGAAAATGAAACTATGAATACAAACAGTTGAGCACCTTTTTAACATAATATTTGCATACCAATAAATCAACACCTTTTCTTCAGTGTGCAGTCATACATTTATTGTATTCAAGTGGTTCTCAATTACTGTTTTCTATACCATTCTTCTTAAATTGTAATATTTCAAGGATTATATTTTTTGAAGCAGCAGTTTACTTATCAGCACCAGAACACACCTCTGATACTGGTGATTCCTAAAAGTATTTATTGAGGTCTATTCCGTTTTAATCCGAATTCCTTACTCCGCTTTATTTCATGGACCAAATGGAACATAACACCTTAAGTAATTTTGGATCAGGAAGAGTGCCGAAAAATATTCAAACTTAGTAATAAATCACTGAATGAACCTTTGCGTTTATTAATCTTTAATTAAAACACGAAACGTCAAAAAACCTTTGGCCATTCAAGATGTAACACTTTCGATCATATTTTCATAGCTGTCAATACGCTCTTTTTGAACTAACGGCGGAAGAGAAACGTTTCATCATTTTCATGGTTCATGAAACTAATTTAATGCTCTTTGTAACAGGTATTCAGTAAAATTATGGATAAAAATCTTAATAAATTGAGATACATCGATTATAAAGTAGAACAACACAATTTTGATACGGTAATGAACTTCTTGAAATCCCTGCATAATGGTTGTTGAAGTGAAACTTCCTCTTCGCTGTGTTTTTTGACAGCTGCACGACTGCAGCTCTCCATAATCATTACTGTCTGTAAAATCACCAGTGTTCCTGCTTTCACTTGTTTTGGCAATCATCAAACATCAAAGAGCAATCCAAATGTAAGGACCCAAAGTATCGAAATGTCAATATTTATAGAACTACAAACTCAATTCCTGCTTTTGCAAGTTAAGGGCCAGAATTACAATATGACGTCACATTTCCTTAACATTCTGGTAAAAAAAAACGATTTAAGTTATATCTAAACGGTACCCCTTACTGTTTAAAAAATGTGAACAGAACTATTAAAGAGGATGATACCTTAACATCAGTATGGGTGAATGGCTCTTTTTGTGCTGACATGCAACATTATCTATATAACTTAGGCTATTTCAATGGCACTAAATTATTACTGTGTATTATAGGTAACCTTGATATATGAATCTTGGGGAAAAAACTTTTAATAATTCCCCAAATATTAGGGGAAGGCTAGTGTCACCAGACCATGTAGGTCTGACAGGCTGGAGGTGATGAGGGTTGCCCTTGAAAACTGTGCTCAAACGCAGAGAGGTCGCTCGGGGGCTGGTGTCTGGGTGTTGGGGGTAGGGGGTGGGGGCGAGGAGGGAAACGCTGTTATTCCGGAGGTGGCGGGCAGCACCGGAGAGCAAAGGGGGCCGCTTATGTCAGCCCGGGCGTTCTGAAGTGTCTTTAACCGGGCCTCTCAGCCCAGGTGAACGGAGATTACTGCAGGCATTACAGAGTCCCCCTCCCCACCCCTCCCTTTTTCCTCTCTCCTCAGCTCTTCATTGACTTTCAAGCAAAGTCCCCAAACAGCAGAATTAATTAGATGAAAATGAATACCCTTCTGAGAATATGGTGCGGATGCCGGAAAGCAGACTATACTTCACTGTGGTACTCTTCCCTTGTTTAATTGCTATTTCTCCAGTAAATATATTTTTGGGGTGAATACACTCCAAGGGTTGTGTGAGGTATTCATTTCTAGATGGTAAACAGGGCTTTTCTGGCATACAGTGCATAGTTAGATTAATCAAGTTAAGGTACTGTACACATGAATCAAGTTAAGATACTGTTATATTCCTCCTATCTCTGCCAACAGAAGAGAAGCAGACTGTTTCCAGGTTATAGTTATTACTGTGAAGAAACTGTAGTGTGCTTTTAGACCTAGAAATTATGACGTCATGGGTATTTAAGTCTCATGTTAAGTGTCTAATCATGGGTATTAATTCCTCAGGTAAACAGGTGAGTCATATGTACTAATCCCTAAGGTACAATATGAAGTCTGTTGTATTAATCCCATAAAGTGTGGAGTTACCTGTTTTAATCTCACAGGTTTAGGACTGAGACAGGTGTTTTAATTCCACAGGTAAACGGTGAAGTCAGGTATATGCATCTCCAGGGTTGTGACCAGGATAATGGCAGATTTCTGTCACCCTCTGGCCTTTGAAATTAGAACAAGACAGCAGGAAGTGTACTAGTGTTGCAAGTTACCTAGGAGGGACATTTTTTTCCACAGGGTGTGTATGCAAGATTATGTGTTCTTTATACAGAAGTGTGAATTGCACTGAAAATGTTTCCATTTCTTTTGCAAGCTGAAATAAAATCACTGTCTTCCGCACTATGAATTTTATGCATTATTGAGATGAGGGCTGACTTAACGTGATGTAAAGAGGAGACCATACAGGTGAGTGATGACTACATCTTCCTCCTGTTCACATGGGATTGTCATGTCATCATCCTCATCCTCGAGGATGACTGTGATCCTCAGCGCCAGCTCGGAGAAAAACGTGCTAAAATGTAATTTGGGTGAGTGTAAGCCCCTATCCCTCCGCCACGGCACCGACCGAGTGTGACCCAACTGCTGACAACGGCTCTGCCAAACCCACCCCCCCCCCCCAACAGCGGTGCCACAGCTCAGCTAGCGGACACACTGTACAAAAAGGCACGACCGTGGGCTGTGCAAACACCTCCGTGTCGCATAAGATGCTCAACTGCGGACGCACAACGAACATACACACACACAAACAAAGACACATATGCACTCACACACAAACATGCCACACAAATGCAGAGAACCTTCCCGCGAATGTAATCACGCCCGCTTAACATCGTCGTTCGACACTGCCGGCGCCTCGTTCAGACGCATTCGGAGCTAATTACAGGCAGCGCACTTAAGCACACAAAAGAATCGTGTTCACTGGCTTGTAAACGAGTTATTGTTAATTATAACTTTGTCTGAACTTGGGTGATCGGCGGCCTGTGTCGCATCTATCATTCAGTCTGTAATTGAGCGGGGTTGCGCGAGGAGCAGCAAAGGGGCTTCCGTCAGGACTATCGCGCATGTCACTGACTGTCACCGTCTACTAAAGCTTTTTCAGCCTTTAAAAGCTTACAGTTCATGGATTCTGTTTTTGTTTTCTTTGGCACGGGAGGTAAATATTTATTCCAACAAATCTCATTAACAGTTTAGACTTTCGGGCCAATTTTTCGACATTGAGCGACACCTGCTCTCAGCGGAGGGGTGGAGAATATCGAAGGCTGACTTCAGCCGGTCACCAGATTTTTTCCATCCTTTGGCAGGACAGCTGATGGACCTTAGACCTTGAGCTGTGAGGGTTGTGGAACCACACACATTTTGAGTACATATTGCTGCTCCCCTCATTTGATCTGAGTTAACTCCACAAAGTCACATGGTCTGTCTCCACTACCACTGTTCCACATAGTATAGTATATTTTGTTACATCTCATTTAGGTTAATATTACTATTAAAGTCCTTACACATTGCTTACTTTTTTAACACACTACCCATTGATACTGTTATACTTTCTAGTGTTAAACCCGGGAATTGAACCTGCAACCTTTGTGTTTCAGGCCCAGCACCCTAACCATTACACCACATTGCCATAGAACCATTAGGAGATATTCACAACACCAAATAATGCTAACCTCATGGAACAACTCACAAAAAACAATACAATAAGATTACTAATCCTAAACGCAATTGCAAAAAAAAAAAAAATAGAATACGTGCATAACAGCAAAATCAGAGGTTACTGATCCAATAAAAACACTTGCAATATGCACATAAAACACTGGCTAAATAAATTCACAGTGGCACAGCTGGGTAAAAGCTGAGATGTGAAATTACCAAGCCCCTGGATATCTACTCTGAAACACAAAGGCAAACTAATACGAAATAAAATTACATTCCCTGTTGGACTGCATTTAAGTGTTTCTAATACATGTAGGTGATATATTTAATAGGATACAAAGATTAATTTTCAGTGATAGGGACTATGTCCATTTTGGTGATATTCGGTTTGTAGTTGAGATTATTTCCCAGGTGCGTGTTGTATTCAGCGGTGAGTAACGCTCTTGACGGATTCTGGAGGTAAATCTGTATGCTTGATTTTTTTTTTCCTACTGATTTTTCAAGACCATTTGCGAATGAGTCATTTCGTCAAAACTGCTGAATACCTCCTCAAAAATCAATTATTTCTAGTGATGCACAACACTTTTTATCTTTACTGGCAGTTCTCTGCTCTAGAATCCGGTAAAGAAATAGTCATGAGATTTTGCTTTCAATGGTAAATTTCTTGTTGTTTTGTTTTTCATTTCCATAAATTCAGTAAGGCCAAACGGTACAATAAGCATTTCCTATTGTGTGCTAAAAAATCCATTGTAATTACATACGCAAGTAAGACAGAACTCTATGGATATATGATAAAATAGCTTTGTCAAAACATTATTTCGTAACCAAGGTAAGTCATACGTTGGCTTGGGGCTGATGAAGGGGGACGTGGTTTGTATCAATGACACAAAAGGTATATTTACACTTCGGAAAACCGAATGTTCTGCATTAGCAGTATCAGTTGGTAAAATACGTACTTAAACAAGTCTAATCACATAGCAATATAACTATGTGTATATAGATATACATCCCATATAAAAAAAGTATCAGTTGGGATGTTAACACTATACCGAAACCGTGTTAATTGGGACATGTCAGTGTGCGGCATCTCTGTTGAGCCTTTTTGATGTTCTGGAACATTTCTATGCTGGAGGAATGACACTATAGAGGGGTATTTATTACAAACCAAAGTGAAGATTAAGTTTGTGTCTTTGTAATGACAAGGCTCCACAACCCCCCACCCTCACCCAATGTACCTCTTCAGAAAATGGGACTAATAAAATAAAAATAAAAAAAAAAAATAAATAACAAACATATTTACATTATGATGCCACCTTCTTTTTTTTCCGTACTGGAAGGAGATAAGGGAAGTAAAGCCCACACAATGATACCTGTCATCTTGAAGTCTGTCCTCGGGCACAATGGAAGGTTGGGTGTCTGTCTCCACCGCGGTGCGAGAGAGGAGCGAAGGCGGCTGCCAAGCTGTCGAATCGCGGAGACGGCGCGTTATTGCAAACGCGCGGAACGCCGGGGCCAAACCGCAAGGCAGAAGTGTTGAGTAATTTGTCGAGTTCTGATCTTTATGAGTTCCCTTGAGGTGTTTCAGGTTCTCAGTCAGCCAGACAAGAGGGGAAAAGAGACAGAGGGGTAACAGAAGAGATTTTCACAAAATACCCATGTAACTTTACTGTACAACGTTAACACTACACGCCATTAAAACACACATTCAACGCAACCGTAGTGTAATCAGCAGAATATTACTGTGTTTATTCATTTTAGAGAACTGAATCACTTTATCTTGTATATTAAATATACAAGATATACATATATATTAAATATTTATATACATATATATCAGAATCTTTGTATTGGGGCAAGAGCAAACAACTGACTGTGGCAAGAGTCCAATACAATTCCACAGTGACGAATTTAAAGTCAAATGCTGGAGTTATACTGTCGTCTTATGGTATAAAATAGATTTTAAAAATGTAGAAAAGTAGAAAAAATGTAAAACCCTTTATCTGAGGGGATGGCAGCTGCCATTGTAAGAGCCACAGCACAACCAGATGCTGCTAGAGAAGTACTGTCACACCAGCACTTTACAATAACACTACAGAGCAGCCAAGGATCCAGAAACCGTCAATGTGCAATGAAATTTTGGATTACAGAAATTGCACATGGCACTTGACTCTAAAAAATATACTATAAAAAAATCAGTGAGACTTATCCTGGCAGCGTGTGCATTAAAAATATGAAGAAGCACCAGAATATGTCCAAAAATGGTTGACGGTGAACAGCTGAATCACCATGATAAACGAAAAACTACAAAAACCTAACTGAAACATTGCATGTTGAGTCTACGCTCCACAACAACATGCATTGCAAAATGTAACAAACATTACCCATTACTCATCATTACTACTCAATACAGAATGTTGAAATGATCCATAAAGATCTACTGAGAAGGGACTGACTTCCCCAAAAGTATTTAGCCTACCAATCAAAAGAGCTGGCACAAAACGCCACCTCAATTAAACTCATTAACCAGCTAATAACATTAGCAACCAGCTTCACACAAGCGCTAATCCAATAAAAGTCACTCAAGCCAAACATAAGAAAATCATTGGGCAAAAAAAGAATGACTCCAAAATCAGTCTGTAGTACCCTGAAATAGCAGTATACAATAGCACAGTATTTAATAGAATATCTTCAGTGTCTGAGACGAAGTGGACAGGTATAAGAGGGAGTGATTTTGTTCCGTGTCACTAATGTGTATTATTACAACGGCTAATATGAACATCGCTAATGTGGTTTTCACTGAATATGGCTATTTCAAGTTTATGCAAGTAACAATTTTGCATTAGCTGCTCGTGTAAAACCTTCCTATCAGAAAAGAATTTTAGTTACAGTCAAGTGGAGTTACCCACTGAAAGGCACTTTAAAGCAATTACATCAGAGCAATTCATGATCACCGTCATTAAACCGAAATGGAAAGATGAAGAGAGGAGTAAATAAAAGAAGAAAAATGCAATACAATAAAAGTAGATATCCTTGTATATATTTATTTTTAATTTCAGGGTTTTGTGCTCTTTTTTTCCTCTGCAATTTATCTTCCAGTTTGAAAAGCCCGGTCATATCTACTCATCAGCTTTGTTTCAGAAACCTCTGCTATATTTCCTAGAGAGGGCAGGAAAGAATACATTCTCCTCTGAAATGTGTGGAGAGCTGCCACTTGTTTCACATGAGTATCGCTTGCAAAGAGATGAGCTGAAGGGTAACGCTTTGCTTGTACCTTATGCGGGATGACTGTGGGCTTTGCTGGCAAGTGATGTGGTATGGGCATGCCTGTATCCCTCTCTTTGGGTGAAGCTGTGGCAGAAACTGCTTAGCCTGGTGTGGCTGAGGGCCACGGTAGGCCCTGACACGGTCCGGATAAGGTGCCAGACCATGGTACCAATCCACACTGGCACACCTCATTAACAGTTTAGGCCACCTACAGCCCATAGACTGCTTGTTTCTCTTCACTGGATGAGGAGGATGGAGAAAGCTACTGACCAGGTCTAGACGTACCTGAAACAAATACACTGTTAATGAAGACATCTGTTAACATGAAATAACACTCTGATGGAGAAAAGAGGGGTCTTTTTTCTTCAAGATACTTATTCAAGAGCGTGATTCCCAGCATCCTCCTGTTATGAAGCAGTGAATGATCACATGGGAGGGGGGGTCTACATGTAGAGAGAGCGAGAGAGTGACAAGAGAGAGAGAGACATTCATCTAATACATTTAGACTAGAGCAACAGCACAGTTCAGTCCCTTGGACTAAGTACAAACCTAGAGAGAAAAGGGCCAAAACCCAACATACCGAGTTAGCCACCAGCCTCCATTTTATTAAAAACCAACCACATTGTTCTCCCAAGCTTTTGAAATTCTTCTGAGTGTTGAATTGCGCAGTCTTCCCACGACTGCATTTCATTCTCATCTGTGACCTTTGAACTATCGCTGAATTACATCACTTCCTGATCTTCACATGGCACAAAGGATTTTCACAACCAAAAATGTACAGGGATCAGGAATTACAATCATTGGAACAGCATATATATTATAAATACAAACATTTTTGCTTACTTAAAATCAAAGCACTTGAAACCAATAATCATAATCATATTTTCCATTGTATGGATAATAATATCTATACTCCTCAATTAAGGGATAATATTATATGTGTGCGATTGTGTTTTGTGATCCTCAGATTTTGTGTGTCTCAGTGTTTCTTACTTAGTGTGCACGTGTGTACAAGAGTCTTGTCTGTGGCGTGTAAGGTAGTAGAAAATCAACATTTTGCAATTTGCATACCTGAGGAAATAAACTCCCAAAATGCATTGCACTTCACCATCAGACTACGACACACTAAAATGGTTTGTGAAGACGGCTTGCTTACCACTGGTGGAACTCCTTGGTTCCTCCTGAATGAACAGTGGAAGAGCTCTTTTCTAAACAGTGCTCATATCTCCTGCACTGTTAATCTGTGACACCAATAATACATGGTACTACCACAATATATTTGCTTGTAAAATAAAAAAAGTGGCTTATAGAGAAATTTGACCTGCAAATTGTATTTGGTAGATTGCAGGGCAGACTTGTGGCTAGGTAATTAGAGCTATAAGCAGACAGCAATACTTCACTACAATCTGTCAGAAATATAAGGCACAAGAAAACGTCATAACAGCAGGTCACCGTTGGTTTTGCACTTCTGCTTCTGGTATGTTATCAGAAAATGTGCAAGAAGCTTTCACAAGATCAATAAATAATAAACATTATATTAATGTGTATCATACCATTTCACATCCAATAAGTAAATCAGACTTGTTTCACATTTAACATCAGTGCTTATACATCAAACCGACATGATCGTATATCTCAACAGCCCAAAGTCTTCATTACATTATTTTCTTAAAAATCGCTGAAAAAGAATCAGAGTAATTGAGTCTTCTCTGTGAGAGATAGCATGTGTGGCTACCTACTCTGGGTAAAAAAAAACCAAAGTAAAAAGAACCCTGAGATTCAGATCCATATTGAAGTCAAACAGCAAAGTATAGCATGGAGGCGGGAGAGTGGCTGTGGAGGTGTGGTCACAGTCGGCCTATAGGAAGTGTGAGAGTCAAGCCCCCACCAGAGCTCTCCTTGTCCATCTGCGTGTGTGAACAGCTGACTCCAGATCGAGTCCGGGCTCCTGGCACTGCCCCCTGCTGATGTCCCTAGGTATCACCGTGGTCATTGAGTGAAGCTCTTTTTGATGGCCACCGCAGGGAACTGGGTGCTCAGCTCCTGGACAGTCCGAGCGTCGATCTGCGAGCAGAAGGAAACGTCCAGCAGGAGCAGCTGGGAGCAGGAGCGCAAGAGCTTCCGCAGGGACGCCGAACCCACCATCCGTGTGCCTGTCACAGATCAATAATCAATAATCAATACTGAATCAATAACATCACTCCATTCCTGCCAAAGAGATCAATAATCAATCAGTAACTTCTGTGCATATCTGCCACATAGATTAAACATCAGTAATAAATAATTACTACAGAATCAATAACACCATCCACATCCCTGTCATAAAGATCATTAATCAATAATCAGTACCGAACCAATAACAATATTGAGTTCATTTATTTTCTGTGAGTTTGGAAAAATACTTCTCAATGGAGGAGTCAACCCAGGCCTATGTTGGAGGAAGTTGTAGTTTTCAAAAGGCAGACATTCAACACAGTGCAAAAAAAAAGTGGCATTTGCCTACAATGACCACAATCCATTGGAAAAGACAAGGGGCATCCACAGATCCATACAAGAACAATAAAGACAAAGATGAGGAGGTTGAAACAAATGGTACTTGAAAGACCATGACCTTTACCAGGGACACAGTTAGTAGATGTAATCTGTATGAGGCAGTATGCCGTATGTGCTTCGAAATCTGAATAGGCTTAGTCATTTACTCATACAGGAACAAACGCAGCTAATGCTAACACTAGCTAACGTTAGCCTCAGAGCTAATGAGTTCATTGAGGGAAAAAAATAACGTTAGATGGCTGACTGGCTGTTACCAGAGAGAAGATCTGTTACAATTGCTCACAATGAGGTGATGAGATAAGCGAAGTCACAATCATCATATAAGAAATGTAATATGGACAAGTGACAATTTAATTATAACGCATTTATTGTTCTAAAAAAAACCATGGAAACAGAAACTGAAAACCATGACGATTGTCAAATACCGAGCCAAACCGAAAAAGCGAATATAGATTCACCAACTCCCCCTGCGAGGAAAACCACAAAAAAGGGGGCCCTCTTCTCTATGTTCATGCTCACCTAGGATGTCGAGGTGCTGCAGGCCGGGGCAGTGGGCGGCCAGCTCCTCGATGTCGGAGTCGCACACGGTGCGGTTGGCGGTGAGGAAGAGCTTGCGCAGCCGGGGCAGGCTGCGGGCGAGCTGCAGGAAGCAGCCGGAGCTGCTCTGCAGGGTGGAGCACCAGCCCAGGTCCAGCTCCTCCAGCAGCCGGCACCCGTTGGCCAGCTCCGTCAGCCCGCGCTCCGTCAGGTTCTTACAGCGCCACAGGTCCAGGGAGCGCAGCGAGCGGCAGCGCACTCCCAGCATGCAGGCCACCACGTCGTAGTCCTCGATCTGCAGCAAGGGGGCGCAACACACATCCGGTATAACCCTCAGTCATGCTCGTCTATAACAACATTGCTGCCCACGCCCTGTTTAACTAACTTCTCCTAGTCTATAAAAATAGTGCAACCCACACCCTGTTTAACTGTCATTTGCTTGCAGGGAATTCTGGGTACAAGTTCTTTATTCGCTGTATTGTTTATCTGTCAGTTTATCTTCTAGTTCACAGTGAGAAAGTTATGCACACCCTGTTTAACTACCTGTTCTCCTGGTGTATGTTAAGGGTCCTACAAACACACACTTGACCACTTGTTCTCCTCAGTCTATAGCAAGAATGCTAAACACAACCCTGTTTATTTGTCAGTTCTCTCAATCTATAGTCTATCCTTAGTCTATTGTAATTATATTGTAACTATTGTATTATAATATACAAACTCCATGTTCATTTGTCATGACTGGAGCAGTTATATTATACAGGCCACTCTGAGCTCAAGAACACCATTTTTGTACTACCATGCTTACAGGCAGTCCTCAATATACTCACTATACTGTAGACTGACCATGACAGGTGGCTCTGTGGGCAGGAAAGACAAGGACGGCACGTGTGTTTGTGAATGTGTGCGTGTTTGTGTGTGTTAGCACATGTGTGTGCGGATCAAGCTGTCACATAGCTTTGAGGTCAAATGGCACTGTCATAGTCTCTCCTTCCTGTTTTGTAAAGGGTAGGAGTGTGTGTAGAGGAAGAGCCCGGTGTTAAAAATTCCCCCTGTTGGGACTATGAACATAGTGTGTGATTGTGTGTATGTGAGTCTGTCTGTGTGTGTGTGTTTGTATGTGAGTCTGTCGGTGCGTGTGTGTTTGTATGTGAGTCTGTCAGTGTGTGTGTGTGTGTATGTGAGTCTGTATGTGTGTGTGTGTGTGTGTGTGTTTACATGAGTGTATGAGTCTCACCATCACACAGCTCCCCAGGTTTAGATGCTGCAGTTGAGTGCAGAAGGTCAGAATGCTGAGCAGGGCTGTTTGCTGTTGACAGAACAGGGCATGATGGGAAGGTAGGGAGGGAGAGGGGGGGGGGGAATACAAAGTATGACATGTCTTTGTTTGTCACAACGCTCTGATCTTAAACACACTCAGTAACACGAGACACAGGAATGCATTTTAACAACGCTGACAGCAGAGCCATGTTATTCAATACGCTCTCTCTGTTTCTATACACAAAATTAGGAGAGGAGGGGAAAAAAAAACAATTGCCATGAAACTATGAAATGGTTTAATGGTTTGCGCAGTGCTTGGCACACACGCGCGGCTAAAACCTCTCGATAGTAATGAGGCGCTATCGCGTTTCAGCCTGCCGGTGTTTATTATGACACCGGTTCACCCATTACCGCTAATTTGGTCCTCGCTCAGAGCTCCCAGGAGCAGACAGGTAATACCTCTCACCTGGGAGAGATCAGCGGGAGAATGTGGCCATTGTCTCGCTGACGTCGCTCGGATCAAGGTGGTTTTTTCGAGCGGTGTGGTGCAACTCCAGGCGTGACACGTTATCCGTCCGGTGACGGGAGTGGAAGACGCGTGCTGCTCGCGCGAGCGTGCGTGTGTGTGAGTGTGTTTGGGGTCTCGTCCTGGCTCGGTGCGCCTTCTTTTAAAAGAGCTGAGCTGTTTTAATTACGGCTCTGACAGCTTAATGACAGCGTACAGGAGGACGGGCGTCGGCACACGCACGGTCTACAGCGTGTGGGTTTGTAAACCATCCCAGCGATGCCTGCCGCAGAAAGACTACACCTTTGGCGGACGGCCCCAGTCTCCCTGGGGCCTGCTCAGAGGGTACTCACACAGTGAACGTTAGCACATCAAGACAGACCAGAGCAGCCGTTCTCCCAGACTAACTCCCAGGAACAACACAGCCAAAAAGTTAAAAAGGTGACCAGCAAAAACATACATTTCGTTCCTACACACAAGAGTAATAAGCAAGTACATTCACTGATAATGTGTCTTGTAATAATTGACAATGTAACTTTCATCAGTTTGCTTGACACAAAGTAGGTCTGTCAGTATTCTAGACAGGCCCAAAGACTGAGCAACTGCTATGTCTAATTTTTAACTGTGAACTACCTGCTCAGATATTAATGAATATATTTGGGGACTCTGATTGCATAGGAACATGGAACGGTGAGGACCTGGTGGGAGTTAATTGGTGTCAATAACATGCTGTTGGAGAGGTGTCTTTAAAGCCAGGAGGTCTAAGATTTGGACGGAAGCATACAAGGACAGGCACATGCATTCACACACACAAACATACACACATATACACATGTACCAACAAAGACACATAATCTCAAATGCGCACACGCATGCACGCACACACCCAAACACACTCACACAGACACACGCGCGCACGCACACCTCCTCTCACCTCGATTTTGGTGCGGTAGAGGATTAGGCGGCGCAGGGCGGTGAGCTGGGAGATGTGGGTGAAGGCCTGGGGGTGGAGCCGGTCGCAGGAGGACAGGTTGAGCTCCTGCAGGCCGGGGCAGGTCTGAGCGATCACCTCCATGCACGCCTCGGTCAGGAAGTGACAGCAGGCTAGCTCCAGACACACCAGGCCCGAGCCACAGGCCTTCACAAAGCTGCAACAGATAGCAGTGTGGAGTAGTGGTTAGCAATCTGGTTTTATAACTCAGAGGTTGTAGGTTCAATACCAATTTAGGGTTATGTCACTATACCTCACTTAAATATTTCAGTAAATATCCAGCTATACACATGGATTAGTTTCCACCAGTAACAAGAGGAGGCCTTGCTAGCAGACATACACTATAACATATAGCCTGCAGTCAGACACACAGTACATCTAAAGCCCGTGGTCTTACAGAAATCTATAGACCCTACTGTCAGACATATTGTGCCATAATATTGCACAACTATATACTTTGCCCTTAGACACACTTTACTATTAAGATGTACAGTTTATCAGTGCCAGGTTTGACTGTATGGTCAAGAGGGGATCTAACATATGTTTACAGCATACAATCAATGCTTGAAACACAGGCGAAGATGGCTATAGCAGATTGTGTATTGCGTGGTGTCTCTGTGCGTGTGACGGCCGACCTGCAGAAGCCGGTGGCGGTGACGGCGCCGCGGTTGCCGGTCCAGGACAGGCTGAGCCTCTGGATGAGCGTGCAGCGGCTCTGCAGGTACCCGAGCGAGGCGTCGGTCAGGCGCGCCCAGTACGGCTGCAGGCTCAGCTGGATGTACTGCAGAGGGTCGCAGCAGTGCTGCTGCAGCAGCTTGCAGCTCTGGGCCAATCGGCACAGGTCCGGCAGGGTCAGGTGACTCACGATCAGCTGGATCAGCTGCGGGGTGGGGAACAACGAGACACGACAGAGAATAAAGGGCTTGTACCCAGAATCCCCTGCAAGCAGCAGACAAAGAGTTTCTAAGGTAAGGCTGTCGAACTCAAGTCCTGGAGGGCTGCCATGTTTTGCAGGTTTTTGCCATTTCCTCACAGTCGGCAGCCATTTTAGGCCTTGGAAACCAGGTGCGTGGACTTCCATTGGTTGAAAGTAGGGAAAACAAGCGGAAACTGCCGCCCTCCAGGACCTGAGTTTTACGCCACTGCTAAAACAAGGAGATCCATAGGAAGTACTGAAGCATTTGAAATTTTGTTTCGTCTGAACTGTCTGAACTGTGAACTGAAAATATTTTCAGTTCACAGGGTTCAGAGGTGGGTGTGAGAGCAGGTATGTGTATGTGTTTGTGTTTCTATGTAAGCTTGCACACGTGTATGTGTGTGTGTGTGTGTGTGTGTGTGTGTGTGTGTTTGCAGTGCAGTATCAGTAGACAAATAACTCCATTGTGCAAAAGACAGCAAACACAGGACTGTGATTAAGGCTAAGCTGAGTGACTGCGGTTTGGAGGAGAGATGAGAGGAGTAACACTAGAAGAGACAGAGGGAGAGGGGGAGAGAGATAGAGAGAGAGAGAGAGAGAGAAGGAGCGAGGGCAGGGTGGAAAAAAAGACATTGGATCTTTATTTTCTAAAATTGTACAAGGAAAAAAAAGCACTGCGACATTTTTAGGTTATGGAAATTAACCAACATATCAATGTGAGCTGAAGTGTTTCCAAAGAAAAGCCATGGAGCTAGAGGGACAGGGGGCCAAGGTCATACTCTCACACTGGAAATGTGTCTTTGTTATAACAGTACATTGCTTAATTTGGGTGTGTTTGTATGAGGGGATGTGTGTCTTATGACTCAGAGGTTGCAGGTTCCCATCTGGGGCAATGCCATTGTAGCCTTTGGCAAGGTACTTCACCTAAATTCTGTGGAAAAAAACCTACATTTCCAACTATGTGAATGGTGTGTGTGTGTGTGTGTGTGTTTTTGTCAGTTGACTAGTTAAATAGGCACCTGGTAGGGCAGCTTGTCAAAGTAGGGTATGGGTTAGGGGGTTAGGTTAGGGTAAGAGTGTGCACTTTAGAGAGTGTGTGTGTGTGTGTGTGTGTGTAGGTTGAGTGGCTATACACAGGCACCTCGTAGGGCAGCTTGTCGAAGTAGCCGTTGCCCGTGCAGCTCTTGGCACCGGCGACCTCGGCCACCTCCCTCTCCTCCTCGCTGTCGCTCAGGTCGCTGATGTCGATCATGGGCATCTTGTAGAGGGCGAGGGCGGGCCGCTGCTTCACCCCGCGCATGATGACGGCGTCCAGCTCGGTGTAGTACTCCAGCAGGGAGCTGTTCACCTCCAGCCGGATCAGGTTGGTGGCGAAGCTGATCTGCTTGATGTTGGGGGAGAACTGCCTGGCCTGGGGGGTCAGGGCCTTGGAGGGTTCCCCGCCCACAGCACCTCCCACCTGCGCATAGCAACGGCCAATGACACGTCACGCTCTGGGGGTCAGAGTGCAAGATGCAGGGGCTGCAAGTGGCCATTAAGTGTGATTTTATAACGTTTTAAGGGTTGCTTCAGGAAGCGTGGACCACAAAGCGTAGCAATGGTAGCTCAGGAATGGCAAGAGAACAAAGAATCAAAACAGAGTCAAATTAAGAATTAAATTACCTGGTATTTATCAATCATTATACAGAAAACACCTTGAGTCCAATCAGTCAATCAGTATTTCGTGATTAGCGTCCTACAGATTGAGGTAGGTTTTATGAAAGATATGGCTGTCAGGAAACTCTACAGGCCATCTGTGTGGTTAGCTTGAGAGTTTGCACATCAGAATGGCCGAATCTCCCCATATTTTACACATATGATCTTATGCTCTTGCAGCAGACTGAAAACCCACCTTTTCAAACTGTCCTCCAACCCTTCCCCGCTTCTCACATCCCTCTATCCTAATTATCAAAAAATAGCATGCACTAAAGCTCTTCCTATGACTAGCATTGCTAATTACATCGCTAGATGTGGTTCTTTGCTATTATCGGATTCAACGCTTTTACTGTTGCTGACTTATTCACTTTCTGCGAGTCGTTCTGAATTAAAAGCATCCGTTCAATGGCTAAAAATGTAAAAGCAAAAAAAAATTCTACTATCAATGTGCCTGGCAGATGAAAACAATGCCTTGTTTTAAAAATAACTGGATCAAAAACATCTACAATCATTTTTGATTGTATTTATACATGTATTTGGTAAATGTAAAATGCGACCTGTACTGTGTGAACCATCCACACTGGAGTTGTTAGGAAGGTAGAATTCCTCCAAGTGCAGTCTGGTGCATTGCTTCTGAAGATATCTTTGGAATGCAAGTACATACATCATAACAGTACTCATGGGTTGCTCTACGATAATTGCCAAGTTTTCAGAGTATTCCTTTACAATTTAGATGGGATGAAACGTATGCCACTTTAGAAATGTAAACTTATAGCACCATGACCCCATACAAGACGACTCTTTGATGATCTTCAACTAGAACTTCGCACAGAGAAATAAAAACTTGAAATTCAGCCAACAATTCTTATCTCTCTTTTAAGTGGGGATTCTTGGTACATTTCTGCAATAACAAAACAACATCATGGTGTTTTAGAATTGAATACATAAGTTACCCTGTATGATAATAGCTTATATACACTGAATGGAATATGGTGCAATAATTCTACAGCTTTAGCCTGGTTTTTAAGTCACATTTCATTGTCAAAGTTACAGTAATGGAAGCACAAAAGCTCTTGCACAATATTTCAGTTAGCTGAAACTTCCTGGTTGGCTGCAGAGGAACTATCTGAGAAAATCATGTCAGCTGGTAGCACAGACGCTGTAAAGGTTGCTAACAAGAAAGCTACCTGGTTGTCTGGCTAACAAATGTTCGCTTATCAGATATGGAAAAAAATAAGAAGATATAGCCCTGCCATGGGTTACAGACCAGATGTGGTTTAAGACCACAGTTGTTTCAGTTCCTCTTATTGGCCCAAAACACAGACCACGGTGCAAAAGAGGAGAAATGTGGCTTGAAGACAAACACATATACACATACACAGTCACATAAATATCATAAAAGAAGTATGTTTAATACCATTATTATTAACATACAACCAATGTAATATATTTTTGATGAATATTAAAATTATTATTGTTTTTTTTTAGAAGTAACAAAAACATTTTTCTGGGACATTACAGAGAGTTATCTCTAGGAAGGTGGGGTAACATGTGTGTCTGTCTTTAGAGCAGTCAGGCCATCCACGGCACCACAGATGTGGTCCTATGCCTTGTTCCATAAAAGACTGGTTTATTCCGAAAAGATAATATTCAAACCGCTACAACAAATGCCTGGTTATTCTATTAAACACACAATACTTTCTTAATCATTTTAGGAATAAAATTAAGGATTTAATGAACTATTTTTTCATTTTATATGTATTTTATTATTACAATCTGGAACAGCCAAATGATTCTGTTGGGTGAGCTCATTGGTACAACTCCCTGTCAATTCAGGGGGTGCAAACAAGCAAACGGTCTTTTCTGGAACTCATGATGCCCGCGGCCACTCTTCCTTCCAATAATACTTGCAAAGACATCGAGGCTGAGTTACTAAACGCTTTGCGTGCAGCTTGCGTGCACATCCTTAAGCACCCCACACCCCCAACCCCGCCCCCCAGATTGACATCCTGCCAACTGAAATCCCTTCCTCCCCAAGTGATACTACAACCAATCACGCACACCGCCCTACGGGGCTGCCCATCACAGCCAGCGCCGGCACAGTCCTGATTCCACACCACCGCCATCCTTAAAAGGATACTCTGCCGTTCTGCCGGGTTAGCCGTTTTGTCTACTTACCCACAGTCAGAGTCACCCACTGGTACCCCTCTCATTGCTCTGTGTGTAGTATGTCAGTATGCAGAGATCTATGGAACCAATGCTAAGTATGTCCCAGGAGCAGTACACAGCTCATCTTAAAACTGAGGAAAAATGCACCTTCTAGCAACTCCAAAGCTGGGTGCTTAGCATTTAGTACTCTGTGTAATTATTATGTGTATAAATAAAACCTAATAATAATGTTATAGTTACTTTAGAGCCAGTTGGTTCTATAACTATTTTTGATGAACGACGTGTTCCATTCGTCCCTCTGGGGCATGGATATTAGACTACGCGTTTTGGCAAACATGGCAGACAGTTTGTAACCTACAGCGACGCGAAAGCTGCACACAACAGAAATATTAAACAAAAAACATGCTTGTCAGGAGAAACCAATGAACCCTCCCTACCCTTTATGAGGTTACACCTAATGAC